GATTCAAAATTTAAATTTTCTGGATACGTTTCTTCTGTATACTGATTTGGATCAGTTTCCGCATTGTATAGCTCTTCGAAAACGAATTTTGGAGGTGGATGATAAGATGTCGTATTAGGAAAAGCTGGTTTAATATTACTGGTCTGTTTTGTGGAGATACTCATTGGGGTAGGTTTTGGTAGGGGTTGTTGACTATTAGGGTTAGGTTTAAAAACATTTATATTTGAATTAGGTCTTCGAAAAACTTGTGAGTTAGTAGGAAAACGATTTGGAACATTATTAAAATTAGGGCGAATATTAATAGGTTGAGATGGAAAAGTGGGTCTTGGCATAAGTGAATTATTAGGAGCATGATTGTTAAAATTATTAAAAGGTCTAAATTGAGACAAATTGTGATTGTTATGATTAAAATATTGAGGTTTAAATTTATTTTGTTGAGATGGTTCAATTTTAGGTACTGGTTTAGAGAAATTTTGGAAATATCTTGTATTATGTTCTTGCGTAACGAATTGTAACGCTGTTGGAAGGTCTTTAGGCGCCATGCAACGGATTGTGTTGCCTAAAGGTTCTCTCAGTCCGGATAAAAAAGTTTTAAGAGCTAAATCGTTATATAGTTTGCGTTTAAGAGATTTTGATGTACACATAGTTTCATGAATGTCGACGTAAGAGCACAGTAAATTAAGCAAATGTAAGATTTTATCGTAAAATTGATTTGGAGTTTCGTTTGGCATTTGTCTAAGCATTACCAGATCTCGGTTCAAACATGTTTCGTCTCTTTGATCTGCAAAATGTCTATAAAGTGTTTCTTTTAAATCGTCCCAGGTAGTAACGTTATGAATATTAATAACAATTTTGGCATTACCAGTTAATTTTCCAATTAAACAGTTTAGTAAATAAATATTTCGAAAGTTAGTTGGAATGTAAAAATGATCAATAAGGCTTTGACATGTTGCAAGATATCTATTTAAATCATTTGGTGTCCCATCGAAGGTGGGCACGCAATTTAAATACTCTGGTTTAAAATCGTTTTGTGAATTACTACTGCTAGTACTTTGCATGTTTATTTTTTTTAGTCTACTATAGATAAAGATATAAATATTTTAGAGTCTCTTAAAGGTTTTATAGATAGCGTTTCAAAAAAAAGTGTATGTTAAAATTTCAATCGTAAAACAAATTGCACTTACATTAGGGTGAAAATGACTTTGAGCATTCTTCTATAAGGTAGATTTGTCAGGTCTGCAATTTTGTCTTCGCCAACTGTAATCTGCCTTGCGAGGGTGAGGGATGCTTGCTTCACACCTGATGAATTGTTCTTTGGGGCACGTCACCAGTTCACGATTGAATGGGCTGTTCGATTTTGAATGGGCCACTCCAGCGACTGTCCGAAAAGTTCGATTCACCACTGATTCCCAATAAATCGTTGATACGAACTCGAACGACACGATGCGATACGATTTGGGAATCCTACCGACTGCGCCAATTAACTTATTGAATGTCAAAGTCACCTTTTCTTTAAAAACTACTTTTATTTTTGAATGAATTACATTTAAGTTTTATTTAATTATATAAAATCTAAAAAATTGACATCTGTTTTAAAAACTAACTAGCTTGAAGAGCTCGTGCGACAGATTGTAAAAAATAGAATCTGTACTTGGAAAAATGCTAGTCTATTGTTGTCTATTCAGCACTTATACACACACACACACACAATATAACTTGCGCAATCTAAAATGATTCGATTTTATACACTTCAGTCTTTCAAAGATCCTATATTTTATTTATACTAAGCGGAACGTCAATATCTAAAAGTTATATATCCGTGTTTGCTATACATATTTATTTTTTCAAAAAGAATTGATTTTTTAATCACTAAATAACATATGAATGTTACTTTGTTTTATCTATTTTAATGAAGCTCTTTTCTCATTTTCTTTTTGATATATGTAGCTCCTTTTTTGATGTAAGTATTTCTTTAGATTAAATTTCTCATTCTGATAGTCAATCCCGGGATTATAGGTTCAAATCCCGGTATTTCAAAACGGAATCCCGATCTCGAAAATTTGAAACCCTAATTGGGACTGTTAATTTCGGCACTGTCTTTATCGGCGTCTTTGTCGGCATCATGGCGTCGAAACAAAGGAATTAAGAGTCTCAGTACTTTAAATTGACTTCGGAAGTACTACACGTATTAGTTAAGATTGCTGGAGATTTTTGTTAACAAAAAGTGTTTTGATATGTAAAGAAAGTTTTCAATCTTAAATATATTATATTTAACATATAATAATAATATATAATAATCCCTTTAGAAAAATCAGTTGTCAAAAGTTAAAAGTTAAAAAAGTTACAATGTTCGCTTTGCAAAATTAAAATTATTGTCAACTATCTTTACAATTAATCCTAAAATTTTAGAAGAACTTATATATAAATCTCGTTATTTTCCAGTTTTTGTTTTCCCTAAAATTTTAGGATTAATTGAAATAATAGATGAAAATAATTTCCACTTTGCCTTTGTCACTTTTTTCTCCAGTACAAAACGGCAAGTTTATTTTTCCATCTCGACGTTCCGAATTCGAGACACCATCATTATCATTTTTAGGGTTCCGTATCCAAAGGGTGAAAACGGAAACCCTATTACTAAGACTTCGCTGTCCGTCCGTCCGTCCGTCTGTCACAAAGGTCTATCTTATGAACCGTTATAGCTAGACAGTTGAAATTTTTACAGATAATGTATCTATGTTGCCACTATAAGAACAAATAAAACAGAATTAAATAAATGTTTATAAATACAGTACTTTCACTAAACATTATCTTTTAAGTAAGAATTTTACATAGAGTCTTTCAAGTCCTCGGTGGCCGCGTGGTTAAAGCGTTAGGGACTTTATGCTGCTATGACGTTGGAGCCGTAGTAAGGCAGGTTCGAATCCTAGTCAAGACGACTTTTTTTTAATCGTTTTTTTTTAATTTTTACATATTTTTACATATTTATTTTTACTTTTTACATATTTATTATTGATTAATACAATTTTAGTAATGTATTATTATTTATTTTTTTTTTATTTTTTACTATTTTCTTCATTTTTTTTAATTACTTATACGCGCATTCAAAATTTCAACCAAATCGGAAAAAAAGTTTATAATAATATAGTATCTAATGTTGTATAGATAATGAATGGTAGGAACCCTTCGTGCGCGAGACCAATTTTTAATTTAAATACGGACTTGGATTTTGATCATTGTTCAATGCTCTTTGTAGATCCAAAATATATTACCGTATAAAGCTTGATTATCATGCATCCGTTAAGCCGGAGCCTCATGCATCCGAAATCCGATGATACGACATCTGAAATCTGTGAAAGTAGGTGAAATAAAAACAGCCTGTCACATACATCCGAAAGTTCGTTCCGAAATTTGACAGTTTTGACATTTAGACCTGTCATTCCTATCAACAGTATCAACATTATTACATGTATTATTGGAGAAACACTTAAAAATAACTTCCTCGTCAAATATCCCGAAATTGCCCACTAAACTTGTTTTTAAAAACCAATGTTTTCAAGAAACGTAAGGTTAAAAAATACACGATATCGTACAAAAGTTTAACAAAATTTAACTTTATACGACGTCGGACGATTAGTTAAAAATATCGGATAAAAATTGGTGTCAAAATATTTCGACCAATAGGAGCACCGTCGGATCGTCGTGTCATCGGATTTCAGGTGCATGAGACTTCGGCTTTACCCGTTGATACGATGCAATGGTCCGAAAATCTAACCCCTCTGATTGGTTATAGCGTTTTAACGCCACTTTCTCATCCGTAAATTTTTTACTATAGCCCGTCAACGAACAGAGAAAGTTAAAATAAATTTAACTTTTCGTACGATAACGGACGTTTTGATACTTTTTGGACAAATTACTACAACTACAACCTAACCTTAATAAGAATATAAGCTAGGGTAAAACCCATGTTTGAAAGAGTAAAACTTTTTTAAGAATAAAACAGATGTTTATTGAATTGTTGGTTATGGAAATGAAACTGACATGATGAAACATGAATTAAAAGCTATTATATTGTTCTATACCAAATAACAAAAATAAATTACCACTAGCTTCATATTTTGATGATAAGAAAATGTATGTCATAAATTAAGAAATTATGAACGGCAAACCAGGTTTTTATAAAAGCAGCAATTGAACATAAAATAAAAGATGTTCTATCTTCCTATTTGGAACAGTTGTACACACAAATTATAGAAATGAATTCCAAATCAGTTAGTATTTTAAATTAAAGTAAACGTCAATCGTAAATTAAGAAATTATGAACAATATATCAGCATTTATAGCTTTTATATTATAAATGCTGTAAATATACAAGTATAAAAAGTACAAAACACTAACATTTTAAATTTTACTAATAAGAAAACGTGTATCATAAATTAACAAATTATGAGTGCTATATTAAATTTGTTTAAAAATTGTACCCACTTCTGAAAGCACTTAAACATTATTAAGAGTTAGAATTTGTTGGAGTATTCAATATCAGGAAGAACTAGCCATCGCAAATCATTAAAAATTAAATTAAGAATTAAAAATTCAATATAAAAAATGTAAATATTTTACTACCTAAGGTACCTACTGCTTCTGGTTTGAAAATATTTCTCTAATATGCTATAATTCTTAACTAACTAACTTACTTTTAACGTTAATAAGGAGATCAAAATAAACTTTATCACTGTTTGAAGTTCTTATATGACATGCACCAAAACTACAAGATAAATTACTTATTTTATTTCTTTTTATTCTTTTTAATTTTTTAAATTGGAGTTTTAGAGGTTGACAAGAACTTGAAATAACTCACGATTAGCTGTCATTGTTATAAACTTCGGCGATACGTAGTAAAGTCAAAAATGGAATTATATTTCTAAGCCTACAGTGATGTTGTTTTCATTCGATAACAAAAGGTACAACCACTTTATAGTACAAATTTTATTTGGTCAAATTAGGTATATACAGCTACAAAACAGGCAGTGGCTGCTTTGACACGCTGCTATGGTGATCCATATCACGTGAAATTGACTGGGATTAAAGTCGTTTCGCTTTGTCCTACTCCGACAGAGGCCGAGATGTCGGGGGATCCCAGGAAACGAATATTGAGCGGCGAGTATGAGCAGGCTTGGCTACGGGATACAGCCAGTAGCGCACCCGTAACGTAAGCCTTTACATAAGCTTTTTATACTTTTATATATACAGGGTTGTTCACCACATACGACACGGAATATTGTAGCTAAACGATTAGATTTTTGCAAATTGTAAGTTTTGGGTTCGTTGAAGGACTATTAGAGTTACAATTTAAAAATAATTTTACAAGATACACACTGTTCCAAATAAGTAAAAAATATCAAAGTTGTATTTTTTTAAATGGAACACCCTGTATATTATTACATTTTCAGTTTCTACGATTAAAATAAAGGTAAATTTGATTAAGGTTTACCGCATTTTAATCTTACTGTTTTTGGAATATTTAGTTTTTTGTCAGAATACAGTAATAATTTTAATTGTAAAGTATTTCTATTTACTAAATTAAATTTTGTGTTGATATAATAAAAATTACACTACCTTATACAGAGTGCCTAAAAATTTATTTTAAATAATTACTAGCTTTAAACGTCAATAACTTGTTTAATTTAAATGGAACACCCTGTATATTTTATAACAATCAGATGCATAATTTAATTGTCTATCAAATTGTATTATACCATTTTCAAATTGTTAAAGAGTACAGATACTAATATTGTCGATACCGTTCGTTTATTTAATTAAATAATAAAAAAAAAACCGTTTAAATATTTGTTAAAGAGGACCAATTAATATGGTTGCTATGTTCAAACTACATTAATTGACTGTTATTTAGAATAATTTATTAATTGACACAATTAAGTATGTAATTAATTAATATTTGTGCGGAAATAATGGTGGTATATTTAATTAAGGGATAGTAATATTATCGTTTTTAGTACCGGTACATTTCGTAAATGTGTTGCTTTAAAAACAATCTAAAATGTCATTACTCCAAGGGTGTATTGATAAATGAGGTCTAAATTATAAGAAAATGCATTTTCTAGGAAAACTTGGAGGGATAGGTAAAAAATAGTATAATACAGTTTGATAGACAATTAAATTGTGTATCTGATTCTCCTAAAATATACAGAGGTTTCCGTTTAAATTAAACAAGTTATTATTATATTAAAGCTAGAAATTATTTAAAATAAATTTTATACACTCTGTATGAGACTGTTATTTTTATTATTGTAACACAATAACTGATCAATAAATAATCTTCAGTAAATATTTAGTATTAAAAACTTTAATACCCTTGGAGAAATGGCGTCTTAAAATTTTTACTGCTTTCACAAAAAGACGGTAAGGTGATAAACCTTAATCAAACCTACCTTTTTTTTATTTGTAGAAACTAAAAATGTAATAATATTGTAATAATATATTCCGTTTAAAAAAATACTACTTAAATCTTATTTATTTGGGATATCTTTTATTTATTTGGGACACTCTGTATCCTGTAAAAATATTTTTAAATTGTAGCTCTAATAATCCTTCAACGAACCCAAAACTTACAATTTGTGAAAATCTAATCGTTTAGCTACAATACTCCTTGTCGTTTGTGGTGAACAACGCGGTATATTTTTTCAAAAAGTTTTAATTAATTATTTGTTAGTGCTACAAATCGTCCCTCTATGTTTCAGATATGACAAACTTGGCAGAGCGTTACTAGAAGTCCTTCAAAATGCAAAAAGCGGTACCAGCTGGTTGGTCAGCAATGACTATCCCATAAAGGAGATATCGTTATCTTAAACAATCAACTTCGCTACACTTTCATACATATTTAGCCATTCCAAATAGTTTTAAAACAGATCAGTACTGTATTTAAGGAATATCAAAATATCTATATTTATCAAAATTCTAAGAATTTAAAATCTGAAATATATTAGTTATATTTTGTGTAGTATTTAGTAATAAATGGTTTTAAAAACATGTTGCTATAAATATAACTTTCAATACTTAAATAGTTCAACTAGGAAGTGTTGAAAATGATACAGTACTAGCCTGTTTTAAAACTCGCGCAATAACAAAGAAAACTGGGGATCCAGCTATATTTTTACATCATACTGTATAAACCCTGGAACTCTATTATACTGGCTCAATACTGAGCTTAACCCGCAAAAATACTGCATAGACGCTTGTATATACGCACTGCAGCTATTGCCTACTTCACACAGATAGAATTGCATATCGATGAACTTACTGTGACTTTTTCAAGCATTTTTAATTTTTTAAATTATGATTTATTTAAACCACCACTTAAGAAGTTGGCTAGTAGTGGGAGTTGTACTACTTTATAGACTTATTAATTGAAGACATGAGTTGATAAACGTGTCATGTCGCATGTTTTTAAAAATCAGTTTTATTCAAGTCTTTCAACATTCCTTTGACAAATCTATCCTCCAATAGACTCTAAATATAAATACCATAAAAAATATCCTAGGTGATAAACCTAGATATCCTAACCATCAATAATTTTTAGACGTGTTTTGTCGATTTACTTCATACCTTTATCCACTCATGTCTTCAATTATTTGCTACATCTGAGTTAAATAGCTTTCTTGAGATTTTTGAACGATGTACTTAAACAGCCGTTAAACGGTAGCCTACTAAAATGCCGTTAATAGATATTATGACGTCGTTGATGTCGGCGGAAAGTAATGCCTAGCGATAGGCATTTTGCAAGAGCACCTATGGCTCCGTGACTGAGGCTATTGCTTCGTGAGCGAAAGGTCCGTGGTTCAAATCTCACGCCGGACCAAGACTTTTTTATATTATTTTTTGCTTATAGCGTGATCTTATTGCATTGGTTTCACTCTTTTTAATTGGATTGGTTTAGTTATTTGGCGGGTTGGTTAGCGTGGTTATTTGGAGTGTGTTAATTCATTGGTTAGTTGGTTATTTGGTGGGGTTGGTTGGTTTGTACTAATTTATATTTGTCTTTTATATTTTTTTACAAGTGTCAAGATTAGTTGCGTTGGTTAAGTTGGTTATTTGGTGGGGCGGATAGCGTTGGTTAGTCCTTATAAAATTCCTATATTTTATAAAACCGTCAAGTGCGTCTCATCAACGACGTCACACCTATTAACGGCATTTTAGTAAGCTACCGTTTAACGGCAGTTTAAGTACAGCCATTTTTGAATTCAACGATGAATACAGGGTGTCCCAATATTCCGTGGACATAGCACTACTACGTATTTCTGGAATCAAAATAAGTTTATTGGGCATAATTTACCTCTATACAAAAGCGCTTCTTTTGTCCGCTAGAAGACATTAAACTTTAAAAATAAACACATTTTTTCAGATATTTTATGAACTGCTATTCCGATTTGAATCAGATTTTGGGTGTCAATGTTTTTTCTAAGAGCTCCAACATTTCACTTTAACAAAAATCAAGAAAAAGTACGGGAAGGGTGAAAACTACCTCCACCCCTACATAAATTTTAGTATAAATATTTATGTAGGGATGCAACTCCACCGACGGCCGATTTTCTTTTCGTAAAATGATCCTTCTAGTATTTACCACATTTTTTGTTTCTTGTAAAAAAACCCACCGTGCATACTTTTTGAGGAAAAAAAATATTTTTCTAAAGCTGACTTCCAAAAAATGTTTTTTGTCACATCAACCTATGGAGGCGCATAATTATGCCACAAACTAAATTAGGTTAGTTTGTGATTATGCTCTAATAATCTAGTTGGCGAAAATATGGAATTTTATATGAGTACCCATAAATTATATTTGACAATAAGCTTCATAAAAAGTTTAAAAATAATAATTTTTAAATTAATTAACGTACGAGTTAATTTTTGATTGATTCCCTCTAACGGACATACGAAGCACTTTTGTATAAAGGCAAATTATGTGCAATTACCTTATTTTGATCCAAAAAATACTTAGTAGTTTGAGTAGTTGTTCTATGTCCACGGAACATTAAAACTCCCTGTATATTTTGTAGGTCTGAATGCCCGGCAACTGATAATCAAATTAGCCATGCAAAAAAATACAGTTTTTAACCGATACGCAAATCTATCTTGACTTTGACAGTAATGTAGAGCTTGTTTGTAAGACTTTTTACGCATTTCTCAATAATTCTGGTTTTAATGGACTCTAAAATATTTATTTTAAAGTCTTAACATCTTTTTAAGTCTAGTTTGAACCAGATTATTTTGTGCTAATGCTAACGTTTTTAATGGTGTGTCCAGAATATGTGTATAAAAATGGAATTGCAGCTAAATAATAATTGGCATAATTAGAATTAATTTTTTGTGATTAACAAATGGCCACATTAAATATCAAATTCGATATAAACAATATTTATTTATTAATAATATTAACAATATTAATACATATAACAATTCATTGGATATATATGTTTGTATATGTAAGTAGACACTTCCTGTTGCTGGCAAATGTCAATAAAAACACACTATAGTCTGTAAAACGAATAACTTTGAATTTGACAGTTCCCGCGGGTTTTTCTAGTGTTAATTTTATTAGGTTAGCAACTTGCGGCCATGCTGACGCGAGATTTATGACGTCACGCTAGTTAGATACTACGGATTAATAAATATGTTATAGAATACATGGAAAACATAATTATTCCTCGTATTTTAAAAATGATATAGTTTACATGAAATATACATAATATACAGTTAACAAATACAGTATATATACATACCTATTTATAGTAATAAATACTTTGGCAGATAAACTATGAACCATACAAATGCAGCAAATGTTTTACAATATGGTTGAAATCGTACTCCATAGTCAATGTAGATAGTTTTTGTGTTAAGAATAATAATTTTAAAAAATATGTGGTCATCTTTTGACAAGTTTATATTAGTTTATTAATTGCAGTAAACATTATAATATATAAATAAATTTTGTGAATGCAAAAAATAATACATCACTATTAGTAGATATTGAATGTTTTTTGTTAAATTAGATCGATTTTCAAACCCCAAAATTTAAAATATATTTTACATTTTACCCATTATCTTATGTACCACCTATTCATTATTTGTATATTGTAAAACATTTGCTGCATTTGTATGGTTCATCGTTTATTTGCCAAAGAATTTATTACTATAAATAGGTATATATTATATTTTATTTATTAACTGTATATTATGTATATTTCATGTAAACTATATCATTTTTAAAATACAAACCAAAAATACGAAGAATAATTATGTTTTCCATGTATTCTACAACATATTTATTAATCCCTAGTATCTAACTAGCAGGACGTCATAAATCTGGCTTCGTGGCTGTTCTATTAAAGGCGGCATTGGTCTAATATTTAGAAATGTCAAAAGCTGATGACATTTTACTTTTGTCAATTATGACATTTCGTGTTGATTTTTGCAAGAAGAGGAAGAACTGTCATTTGTTTTATTATTTTCTTTTTCTATTTGACGAAAGTAAAAAGAGTTACCTATCTGATTCGTTCAGGCACTCAATTTAAAGAATATCAGTAACTTTTTTGACAGAGAGATTTTATATTTGCCATATTGGTAAAAAATAACTGTCAAAATTCAAAGTTATTCATTTTATAGACTATACTAAGTAGTTCAAATGACCCGATAGACACACCATAAAAATGACGCCAATGTAACTTTTTTACTTGCTTCCCTTTACACTTTTATATCTACCTATATACTTTTATAAAATTGTTTTACGCTTATATATAAAAAAATGATGGTTAAGTTACTTATTTCAACATTATAAATGTTATGTTTTGAATAAATGGACATTTCTAATAAAACGCAGTAGAAAAAAGTATTCTTTCTTTTAATGCCCTTTGAATTAAAATACGCATTTTTATTATACTTTGATGATCGACATGATCGAGAAAAAAACACCGTCAAAATGGCTTCGAATCATCAAATAATTAACTAGAAAGAAGTGTCAACTCTGTGTTAAATCGTGGCATAGATAAATGAAACAAGTTTAGATTGGAAAGTGCCCATAAGGACAATGTAAACACTATTTGGCGCTATTCTTGCAACGGTCGCGACCCAAAACTTTTGAAAATTTCGGAGCGGTTCGGCTTTTTCCGGAATTATATCGCCAAATATTGTTTATTCAAATTTATTATTATTTTTGTTTAATTTTATAAATAAAATACAGTGTGTTGCATTCAAGAAACTTTATTTTCCATAAGGACGCATATATGAAATACCTATGAAACACTGGAAATCGATGTTATGCCACGATAAATAAAACTTGAATTAAACTCACAACATAGCAGTAATTACTTTGAAAATGGACGCTATAAACACTTTTCGGAATTTCTTTAATGAAAGCGGTTTAGATTTTGAAAGATTATTATGATTTTGAAGATTCTGACTTTGACAAGAGAAAATTATTTCTGTTTTTGTTTGCCGTTGTTCTTAGCGACCGCTATAGCAGCGCCAGATCGCGTATAACGGTCGCGACCCAAAATAATTTCGCGACCTAAAATTTTTACGGGCTTTCCAATCTAAACTTGTTGCATTTATCTATGAATCGTGGAAACACGATACGCCACCGAAAGCCTTCGTTGTCGTCTGGAGAACTAATTTTCCAATTGACAGGTTGACATGATGGCTTCATTTTTATTTCCGTTTCCGGTTATTCAATGGCGGGCCCTCTTTTAGTTTAAATGTATTTTGTAGTCTTTCTTATCATAAATAAAACAAAACAAAATTTTATTCAAACATATTTATTTGAAATATGAGGCAACGTGACTAAATAAATGTAAAACATAAAGAATTGAATGATTTCTACAGCAATTACTTAATGATATGCAATTTTAACCTAAATTAGTAAGGTATAAGCATGACTTACAGTAATTTGTAAACAAATACACGTATTCACAGCCATCAGGGACAGAAAACGGGAGCAGGAACATGAAAACGGAAGCCTTATACAAAAACCTGAAAACAAAAAAACAAATTTTTTTATACTAAAGTTAACAATGTAAAAATATCTTATAAAATATAAATATACTGTTAAAAAGAAGCAAAAAGAAACTTTTAGTCGGATAACATAATCAGATTATCAGTCCGATTTATTGCATTATTGACAATAAATCGAACATACTGGAGTAATGTTGGCTATAGTTAAAAATGATCTTACCTTGCTGTAAATTGTTTCTATTTTCAAAAAAATCGCCGATCAAAGAGATTAAAACACCATTTTCTTGCATCTAAAAAATGTAAAAACAGTGTTTATTTACTACCTATTTTTCATATATATAGGACATACCTACTACTGCAGAAACGTAATTTTCTCCAGGATTCTTCATGTAATATATATTTTATATACTTTATTACCTTTATATTTATAAATTTCAGCCGAAATATTAAATTGAACTTCCAAAACGAAACTAAACGGAATGAATTAAAATGGCGTCGAATATTTTCTAATTTGTTCTAGAACAAATCTGAAATTGTCTCTGAAACTGAAATCTGTTAATTCTAAACTGTGAAGTTAGACAATAGTTAGACAAAAACAATGCTGTCCTTGTCTAGGCGGCCATACTTGTCGTGAGGAGAATGACAGGAATGACACTAATGACTGTTTCCAATTTTCCTATTTCACTGTCACCCCCCTGGTGACAATCACATTTTCTATAGGCTTAGTGCATTCTCCGCCGGTGCTGCCACCATCGGAGAATATTGTAAAAAACCGGCATATACAAATATACTGATTTAAATAGCGAGTATAACGAAAAATTTATTATATAATTATTCTAAAAGTGTTAGGAAGTATAATTTGTGAAAATTCTAAAAAAAAACGTAATTATTTTTATATCTTCAGAAGGTCTAAGTTTTATTGTAATTTATTATTCTA